TCGCTAACAGGTTGGAGGCCATCGCTAGTAATTAGGTTGGAGGCCATTGCTAGTAATTAGGTTGGAGGCCATCGCTATTAGCTTGTTGATAGAGTGTTCTTTGTTTTGATAAGTACAAAGCCAAACATGGAGCAAGGTGGGCCGGAGGGGCATTGGGCGAGAGCTTGTAGAGTCTGGAACTGAAATTCTTTTTCTTTAGAAATCGATGTGGACCAAGAACTGCTCCGCTAGAAACGCACGATTTAAGGGCGGCCGGCTTCTATTTTGCATCGAATCCAACCAACCAACAGAGGCAGACTGCGAGTTGTGGAACCCTGAGGTGATTTGCTGCCAGTGGAACCCATTGCCGCTGCTGTCATCAGTGCAATGTCTGATGTGGGTGGCCAGGAGAATCTCCATTTGACAAGCTCTTCACAGAGTCATGTCTTCCCAACAACTCTTGATCACAAGAAACTCGTGAGCGATGCATGCTTGCATCAGTGGAGAGGATATTGACCAGTCAGTCCAGCATTTAAAAAGTGCAAATTCATTCTCGCTGTAGCAACTGTAGTATTTGAATCTCATTGGATCCACTCTTTGGTGTCGACAGAGGCAACCAATCCTTCCCCTCAATACCATGGTGCGTTCTACTCCGCAGCCTTTCGAGCGAGAGGGTCCTATCTTAGCATTTTCAGAAAAGGAATGACACCTAACCGTTTGGGTGGTCCTGGCTCCATTCTTTGTGAATCTCTTGATTTGAACATCAGTTGATTTGCCAAAGCCTCCAGGTTTCCTTCGTCCGGAGATAAGGACGAGCTGTTTCTTCATGCAGTTATTTCAATAGGCCAACCTGCCTCTCTGTCGAACAGGCAACCGGTCGCCACTCGTCGTGCGAGTCCGCGTGGGCGCTGCCGCGACTCGCTGCCATGCCGACTCCAACAGCTGCATCAAGGGACCTCCAAAGAGAGTTCTCCTTGCTGAGGACGCTCCAACTTTGGAAAAGCAGAGCTTTGGGATGCTTTGGGTTTTTTGTTTGATTCCGTCTTCTTTCTCTTGTGGAGATGATAAGTACGTCAAAGTGTGAATTCCTCAGATCATATTGCCGCAATCCGAGTTTCTCCTACCTTCAGGGCCCCCAAACTCCCACGAGGGGCACCCAGATCCGCCACGTCCAAGGCAAGAGTTGCAAGCAGATCTTCAACGGCTCACCGCTCGACTCGACAAGCTTGAGAACCGCTTCGATGGACGGCTCCAACTGCCTACAGCCAACTTGGCCACTGCCCACAGCTCCGATGCCTCTCCTCGGTCAGGTGATTCCCCCAGCGAGAATGAGATGAAGATTGATGTCCAAAACACGGATCTGTCAATGGTACAGCTGTCAATGGTGGTGAACAATGGCTTCCCACCATCCCAGCCGGAGATTGAAGAACCTCAGGATGAGCAGGTGCGGTGCTGAGTGTCTTGTGGGTTGAGTGTTTAGTGCTTGGTATTTGAGTCATAGTCATAGGGGTGTGGCTCAGTTATTAGGACCCTGGGTAACCCATGGTGCGCAAGCATGAGAGGACGGCTTGGTGCCTTTTGAAGAGAGTGCTTGGAGTTTTCCTTTGGTCGCTCGGAACAGATATAGAAGAAGTCTTTGCCAGATATCGGTCGCGTTGTTTCTACTGCATGGTAGACGCCGCGATTCCCTCGTAGAGGAGTGACTTCCAGCCGTCGTTCCTCGTCAGTGACATGGTTCTGAGGTGGTCGGCTTGGCACCAGCGGGTCCATGTGACGTGAAGCTCGGTGGAGACCACTCCGTGGCGTGGGGCCAAGTGGGCCAAATGGACGATCCAACGAAGTGGGATGAAGTGGGTTCCTTTGCAACTTTGGAAGACACCTTTTCCCGGGGAAGAGGAGCAGGAGTAGGAGTTAGAAGTTAGGAGTTAGAAGTTAGGAGTTAGAAGTTAGAAGTTAGGAGTTAGGAGGTAGGAGGTAGTAGGTAGGAGGTAGGAGGTAGGAGGCAGGAGGCAGGAGGTAGGAGTAGTAGTAGTAGTAGCAGTAGTAGCAGTAGCTCGTCGTCGGATTTTGTGGTAGGTTGGTTAGATAGTTTGAGTAGCAACGTAGTTAGGGCTTTCTTGGAATCGGAGCCAACTACCGGGGTAGAAGCACTCATCCCAATTATTTTTTCTTTACTGTAGCGTGAAAGGGTGTTGGGTGTTGGTCAGTAGCTCAACTGGGCCACGAGCTATTCTAGTCTTCAGTGCCACATCAGGGTGTGTCTTAGAAGAACGGTTCGCTGCTAAACCCTGGCTTGAAATTGCCTGGATCTTTTTCGCCATTTCATTGGATCCCATACTCCTACACCATATTGGCAAAGATTGGATCCATTCTGTCCTCCTAAGTGGGTGATTTTGCCCATGAAGACTTTGGGGGCGGCTTGAATTGGGGGATGCCCCATTGGGCTCCGATCTATTTACCCTGCTTGACATATTCTCTTCCTTTTTCTGGGTGCGGTCCCGCATGTGAAGGCACAGCCACTTCTTGACAACTGTGACGATCTCTTAGAAATCACATCCCAAAATCTTCCTGCAACCGTTCTCTCGGGCTTGGCGTAAGCACATAAGTGGCGCTAAGAGGTAGAGCGTCCTGCGTTGACCCTTAAGTTTAACGATTGACTGAACTGGTGACTGAACCATTCATTCTTTCACCACCCGGTCATTTGTTCATTCATTGTACATGGGGAGAGGTCACACATCCGAGTGAGTGTTTTGCAGTGCCTCATGGCAAGGACCTTTGCGATCATCCTCTTGCTCCTCAATTTGGGCAGCTTGACTCAGCTTGACCAAATTTAACTGACTTAACTTTCTGACCTCCTTTGGCAGCGTCAGAAAGAAGATCAACTTGTGTAAGCTTTAGTCGCAGGTGAGGGTTTGTGCTCCAACCTCTGCCCAAGGCATGCAAGTGGCCTTCTCTGTCATTATCCTGGATGAGAACTTCATTGGATCCCCCTTCACCGATCACATTGACAATGCTCGACGATGGCGTACGAGCATTGCACATGATTACACACACATGGATTTGGCAAAGACCTCACTAGTGAGCCGGGTTTGCAGTGAGGATGGTGCCTTGATTCTGTCAACACCACAGGCGAATTTGATCCAACAGATCAACAGCTTCTTGAGTTTGGGCCTGGATCAATTTCAGCCCGGCTTCTTTCAGGTGGGATCTTTACTCTCCATGCTTTGCATCTTGCTGTGGAGCCTCTGTGTCTACAAGGAGTATCGGAGCATTTGGCTCACCTCAGAGGCTGTTTGGAGGATCCCTCGCTCCAAATGCACCCTCTTCCGGGACAACGAATTTCATACGATTTCCACAGGCGCGGACGCATGATCGGTGGGACGTCTTTGGGTTGGGAGGTCAGAAAAAGAGTGTAATTCGGTTGGAGGCCATCGCTCTTTGCTTGGTGGTAGTTTTTGCCGGACTTAATGAGTCAGACATCAAGTTGTCTAGCAGAGTCTAGCAGTCTGTGTGGAGAAGCAGATCCATGCAGATCCAATAGACCTTGAGGATGATCTCTTGTTATTGCCTTTTGTGTTACTTGACATCACTGTATCACTTCACCAGCCATGGGATCATGGAGCTTGACATCAGGTCGACTGAAGATCTTACTCTTCACCTACGTGGCGCGAGCAGCCATTGCATCTCTGCTCCTGGGTGCAGGCATTCGATGGCTTGCGCAGACCACATCCATCTCCGAATTGATGTTGAACGCTGTCTCTCTGAACGCCATCTTGGATGCAGCCCGACGTTGAAACCGCGCAAGACCCAACGACCTTTGAGCATGGTTCGGGGGTTCAAGACTTGGCTTTTTTCGAAGGGCCGAGGGATGCCGAGGGGTCTTTGGGTTGGGATGGATCCTCGGAAAGGGGTCAGTGCAGCTTCCGAGTGCAGCTAAGCTGAGGTAGATGAGTTCTTGTTTGCCGGCTTTACGTGCCCTGACGTTGCAAGGAGTTGGACCATTTTTAGAGAGTTGAGCTGCTTTGTGCACAAGGATCGTGTTCTGTTCATGTGTGTAGTACCCTTGCAGATTGCCGGCAGGTGTGATAGGTGTCAGGTCTTGTTGCTTTCCGTATATAACTATATAACCGCTTCAAATCTACTGGTTCAACGGGCTTCCATGACTGTGCAACTGCAAGTACGACTCTGTCCTCCCTCCCTTTGGGTGCGCTCTTTGCACCGCAAGACACTTCCCAAGTAATGGCCTTGTCATATGGAACTTGGGCATGAGCAAACACCTGAAAAGCTAAGAGAGTTGTAACACGTGCATGTTGGGTAAGCTTTGTGTACGGCTCTATCTTTCCACATGTGTTTGTTGCCCGGACATCTGCAAAAAGGACCGTTGCGTCAGCATTTCTCTTGGGGGTATGGTTTTCATATATGTTTAACACAGATGCGTAAGATCTGCGTAAGGTCTTCGGAGAAATCCTTGGCGTGTAAGCTAGTGAAAGCAGGTGTGTAAGAAAGTTGTGCGAAAGCTAGGGGTTAAGTCATACGTCTTTTTGCAGAGCTTTTTGCGAGTGTTTTGGTTCTCAGCCCCTGAAAAGAGGTGTTTCGGGTGTGCATGAACCCCTTGCGGGTCCACCGAAGCGCCGAAGCTGCCTGCCTCGAGGCCGATTTCCATCCAGCTGGCGGTGCGAACGCTGGAGCCTTTGAAAATGAAGTACAGCCGTCGTCGGAGTCAACTGGAAACCTGGAGTTTGTTTGTGTTGCTCGTGGGCACCATCACTCTGCCATACTTTGTTCTCTTGAATCCGCTGGGTGAGCAGATGGTCCAAGTGAAGCATGAGCTCTGCGCCGGAAACCAGACCTTTGTGGTGGGACGAAGCACGGAAGCTGGGCCAAAATATGCAAAACACATTCTTGCTGCTTGCTCAACGTTTTTGAGGGAGAAGGGGGTGGTCAGTTGTTCAGTTTCTTTTTTGTTTCCACTAAGCAGGTTGTTAGAGATCCTTTGTTGTCTTTGTGGCACCCGTAGCACTTCCGTGCGTCCGTCCACGCCAACCGACAGGAGACGCAGATGACGGTGGGACTGGTGACTCGGCATCCCCAAGAGGCGTCGGAGCTCACGGTGACGGAGCTGGCAGTGGAGGAGCACAAGTTCAATGGACCGAATGAAGTGCCCTACTTGATCAACTTCATGGAAACGGACGTGCACTTCTATGAGGCCCTCGGCCGAGACATGGCCGCCGAAGTGAAGAACTGGGGGCTTTGCATCGAGAAGGAGCGGGCGGTTGAGGTCGGTGTGGAGAGGAAGCGATTTCAACCGTTAGGGGGCGAAGCAGAGCAAGGACCAGAAGCTTCTTCCCTAGCATGGAAGATCTATGATCATTTTTTATGTGGACGAGCAGACAGATGTGACCATGCAAGACTGAAGATTTGAGTCACGTGACAATCCCGACATCCTGCTGGAAAGGCATTTCTTTCTCTCTTATAGGCAGTTTCTTGGAGAACTACCCATATAGCTCTGGCCCGGCCCCCGCCCTGTTTCTTCGGGGTCTTTTGTTTCGCTCCGATGTGCAAGGTGAGGAACCTGTCAGGGAGAAGACTATCCGACCAATCTCCCAAAGATGAACAGAATAGAACACATATATAGATCTAAACAGCTGGTGTGACCACTGCTTGACAGACAAATTCTCCCCACGCAGGAGGTCCTAATGCTTGGTGTTTTTTTCTACCAAGATCCGCTGATCACGCCTTATTCAGATCTCATGCTTCGGCAAGCAGCGACCAGCCTTGGAACAGCAGATGTGTCTCGAGGCACCGCCAGTTCCTAGCTGGGAACTGCATGCCTCCATGTGCAAAGTAGATCGTTTCTCTGGTTTCAAGCGACTTTTTCAAACATGCCCACTGCCGAGAACCGGTCCCCAATTCGGCTCCACGTCGGCCACGTCGGTCACGTTGTCCGCGTCCGTCACATGGGAGGTTGTGCGGGTTTGAAGCACCTCTGCAACGATCCCAATGCACGCTTATTGCGGATGGTCTGTGGCCACACCTGCGGATGTACTGATCCTTTGGCCTCTGCATGGCACAAAGTCACCGCGCAGGGATGTATCGCTGCATGTTCACAGATTGCCTTTGACGCGGCAGCTGCTCGCCGCGTTTCCGGCAAAACACCCCCAGATGTTTGGGCCTTTTTTGGGAGGGTAGGAAAAAGGACGCTACTAGGGGCTCCTGGCATCGCTACTAGGAGCAAGGACGCTACTAGGGGCTCCTGACATCGCTACTAGGAGCAAGGACGCTACTAGGGGCTCCTGACATCGCTACTAGGAACAAGGACGGTACTAGGGGCTCCTGGCCGTACTGCTAGGAACAATGTTTGCTATTAGAAACAACCCCAAAAAGGCCCAGAGCGTCCTTGCTCGTAGTAGCGATGCCAGGAGCCCCTAATAGTTCGATCTTCGATCGCGCTTTTTTCCATCTTCTCGACTTCCGAACAATACCCAGGCTGCCACTTGCCAAGACAACATTGATTCGGAGAATTGGGAGGTCTTTTGGAACTCTTATCCAGATGTCATGACCGCCTTCTGGGGGAACAACGTGACGGAATCCGCCGTCTATCCGGTCATGCTCTCGGTCGCAGACGCTATGAAGTCCTCCGGATGCTCCGCGTTGATGGATCCGCAATGGCAAGCAGAGCCTGGGGTCAACCACAGATGGTGTGAAGGCTACTGAAGCTTTTCAAGGATAGCTTTGAAGTGTGTGTTTCTTTCCACAGGGTGGAAGCACAAGTCTGGAGTTGATGGGAGGAACCTTGCAAACCCTCCGCACCGGTGACGCACGAATCAGGACACACCGTGACACACACTTTATACCCTAAGGTTATCCTCCTCTTTGGCGCCCTTTGGCCTGGCAATGCCCTGAATCCTGCGGATGCAAAGACATTACGCCCTTGCCGGCGTACTCTGATTTGAACAACAGTTGCCAAACGTGTTTGAACGGAAAATTCTACAGTGTAAAGGATCGTGCATGAAGCCCTTCAGCGGTTCTGTGGTACTGCTTTGCGTGGGTCATGGGCTTTGTTGGGGACATGCCATACACGCTTTTTCGAGCCTGAAAAGGGACATTTCCTCAAAATGCGCCGGTTGTCCAAATCGGAACCAGCGCTTCCTTGGGATCAGTTGTATGAGTTTAACATGAATGTTTACGAAGCATGTCTGGTGCACAGAGCTTTCATTCGTTCGTGGAGCCTTCGTTCGTGTTCACGACCGAGGTACTGCCCCAGCCGTTGTGCAGCGACCTCCAATGAGACACGATGACGTCCCTGGAAACCAGACAATGACGATCTGGGTCCCTCAGGGATTGGACGAACACTCTGACTGTGATTTCTCCAACTGCTTTGACCTGCGAAGCAGGCAAAGGTTGGCGTGCAAAGACCGGGTTGTGCTGCAGAAAGAAACTGCAGGTCTGACTGCGGAACGGTAAGATGCTCTCCTGCGTCCCACCAAATAATCCAGTTTGTAACCCAGCTGGAAGTGAAATGCCTCCGGGCGAGCATGCGCTTGTTCTTGAAACATCATGTCTAATGGATACCACGGTCTTCGGAGATGTTGAGCGGCTCTGTTTGTAATTCTGTTAGAATTATAATACATTGTGTACATTGCTTTACTTTTTACTTATTGTGAAGATGTCGATGTGTTATGCGTGTGTTTTTGATGAGTGAACCCTGAGAGCTCCACTGGTGATACAGGGAGACGAAAGCAAAGGATCCCAGTGTGGAAGAGACGTCCGCCATGTTGCCACCGTGTGATTTGACAAGCATTCCGCCCATGTTTGTGTGTAATTTGGATTTGTCACAAGCAGGTCGCTGCTACAGAGAATACAGATGCTGGCAATTGCTTGTGAGGTCTTGTTCACCAAGTTCTCTCAACACATGTTATTGTTTGTTTAATTTTGAAGAAGGTTTCTGCTACGGTGCTTTCAGAGTAGATGGCACTGGCACCCCAAGATGTCTTTTAGACAGTCCAGATCAACCACCAGAGCGTTCAGGGGGTGCCGATCAGATCTCACAGCAGTGCTCCAGGACCGAAGCAAGGAGGTCGTCATGAAGTGTTTCAGCAAGGGATCTTGGTGCCAGCGGCTTGGGATCGCGAGCGGAGACTGGAGACACATCGTCTCAAAGTTCCAGTCGGCTCTTCGGGAAGACCGGCGGGGCTCATTGGAAAAAGGGGGCAGCAACACAGTGTGCGAGCGTGGTATGAAAAAAAGCAAGGCGGGTTATGGACAGATTCCTTGGTTGAGTCATAGCCCTGAGCTGTAAAGCAATGTACAGGCTGTTGATTAATGCCACCCCTCCATATAGATTTTTTCACAATTATGGTATGGTTGTTATTATTTTTTCTAATTTTGCAAGGTTCACAATTCAATCTACCTCCCTTGTTGTGAATCAGTGAATCATTGCCTCGACTACCACGTGTGGTTCCGGCTGCCTTTTTGCAACTGAAGGCTGGGCTGAACTTCTGCTGGACAGGCTGGGCCAAACTACCTGAAGCGGCGTGGAAAAAGTCTCATGGATGCAAGAGCCTTCTAACAACATGCATTGGTTTTCACCGGAGCGCTGCTCTTTGTGCGAACCATGCTACCAACTAGCAACACTGGGAATAACAAAGACCAAGATCCTGTGACATGCTACACAGCACACCTTTCTTCCGAATCCACCCTATTTCGCACTCGGGGGGGAGTGGGCCGGGGCGAGCGGTAAAGGTGCGGACCTCTTCCGGCCGTGCTCCAGCTGTTCTCGTCGGGTGATACACTTCGAGCCTCGCCAGGTGCCCGGCGAAGGTGGTACAGCCTGAGGCGTGTGCCCTTTGCGGGTCGAAGCACGTGGCCCGTCGAAGCATGCCGCTCCGGCCACGATGTTTGAACACGCCACGTGGCCAAGATGTTTGATGGTACGATACGTTCTGTGTCCGACAGATGGTGAATGACACCGTGCACAACAGGTCCGTTTGTGTGCAAAAACTCAAGCCGCCCTCATTGAAGGTCAGTTTGAGTCTGGCTTTCTGAGAATGCAATTTTTGCACACATCACCGTCTGTTTGAACCACTTCGCATCTTGGATCCTTCCCGCCCCACCCAGGGCGGCCACCTGTGTCTTCGTCCCACCAGCCACCGGTCGACAGGTCCGTGACCGGCTGCTAGGCGCCGCGATGAAAGCCTTGCTGCGGGAGGAGGATGAGGTGGGAGACGGGAGGAAGTGCGGTGAGATCTGAACAGTGAAATTTCCAGGGCTGAAACGTCTTTTTGAAGGGCCTGATTCACCTAGATTTTAACTACTTTTTGGGGAGATGGGTGCTGTTTGCTTGTTGTCGTTGCTCTATGGGTATATATATATAATCTATCTATCTACCTATACATACATGTTACATCATGTTACACATATATATATATATACATTATATTATATTATACTATATTGTATTGTATTGTATTGTATTGTATTATGTTATGTTATGTTATATTATATTATATTATATATTACTTTATATAACGATCATGATCACTGTAAATGTTGTTGTTGCTCCTTTCCTTCACTCCTACGGCCTTCGGACTGTCGGACCTTCGGAGACGTGACCCTTCGGACAGGTGGTCTCCACCGCCGCTCGGCTGGTGGCAAAGCTCACGGCCATGGGCGAGCAGCTGGCGGACGAAGGTGGGGGGATCCCCTTGCTCCGGACGACGGCGGCGTCCGCGCGGGTTTCACCCAAAAGGATCCAAGCGGCGTCCGCGGACTCCAGACTGCCATGTTTGGACTGTCCAATCTCCTGTTCTCTTCTTTGAATAATGTTTTGGCGTTAGAACTAACATGGCAGTTGGATGGCCAGAAAGAGAAGTTGTTGTTTGGGGATGAACCCGGTCATGGCATCCAGTTCCATGCTTATGTTCGTTGGAGTGTAGGCCGGTTTTCTTGAGAGGACCATTGAAACGTTCACCAAAACCTTGACATAGAGAAGATTACACACACAATGCACTGTGACTTGTGAATGTTGAATTTTGGAACGTTGTCTTTAGGTGTGTCTGACAGGGGAGATCCCTTGGCCTCAGTTTCGTTTTGGCCGTGCTTGAGATGAGAAAACGTCCTGCCTTCCCACTATCAGACATGCAGTGGGCTCTACCTGCGCTGGAGGTGAGGATCTGCTGGGCAGCATGTGCCAACGCCTCTTCCGCCTCATGAAGGAGCAGCCAAGCTTACTGGACCGTCCGGCCACCGAGGACCGTGAAGAGCTCCTCTTCACCACTTCTTATCAATCATGTCCTAACCGCCTAATGAATTATCAAATGAAAAACATATACAATGGCGGTTAGGTTATTAATGTCCTTTCATTCATTCTGCCTTTTTAATAAATACAATCATCCATTAAAAAGGCTTATTATTCTATTTTTTTCATGGTGTTAACCTCCATATATAAAGAGACTACCCTGTTATTATAGCAACTCTCGACAGTTGCCCACCATTAAATTTAGTATTAAATTTCATGGCCAATCCACCATCATTTTTCATTATTAATAATGGTGCCCACCGCCCAGGGACAAAGAACCTCCAACCAGCCAAGCATCCAACATGGACCTTCAATGGGCCTGTGAACAGCTTCCATTCCAACCAACCCAAGGTCTGATCTCCATTGACGGGCCAAAGGATGTTGTTACCACCCTCCATCTTGCGGCAAAGCGCTTGGAGTTCCAACCACACACATCTCCACTTTATGGCCTTCTGGCATGCTGATTGCAACATATGTCAACAAAAATCGAAAGAGCTACATCAAAATGGTTGTATTTCCGAATATTTCAATCATTTTCACTTTGCATCTTGCTTCTATCATCTTGTGCTCTGGAAGCATCCAGAGACGTCTGGAGCCTGGCGGGTTCTGCTCGCCAAGGCAGAGGGGAGCTGATCGTGCGCAAGATCTGTGGTGCTCTCGTCAATCCAGGTGGGCTTCAGCAAGACTTAACGAAGCAGGAACCACCCAGGATCCAGATGGGTCTGGTTGGGATTGTGTTTGGGCTTCCAAGAATGGATCCAGATGGACAGAGCAGAGAGGAAATCTCGCTGCACCTGCTACACTGAAACGGTCCAGTCAGGGTCAATCTTTTCTGCGATGCGATGAGACGAAAGGGGTTGAAGTCGGAAAGGCTTGTTGTTTGAGGAAAATACACTGAACATCTTTGAGTCAAGCAAGGTAGAGTCTTAGCTCAACACATTAGTTCCTGTTCATCCCTCCCAAACAGAAGTAAAAGCTGGTCAAGGTCCAAGGCACTAACCAAATATAAAATATCCTTCAAGACACAGTGAATCTTGGCAGTCCTCATCATCATATATAACTGTATATATATATATACTGTATACACATTCTATATTTATACATATAAAGAAATAAATATATGCTCTATTGGCTCTCTGCACGAGTCGAACATATTGACATAGAGTTCCTTTGAGGGTGATGTGCAGACACGACCGTGGCCACAAAAGAATTCGAGACACGACCGTGGCGGAGCCACCGCCGTCAGGCGTCGATGTCCAGCGCTTCTTTGCAGGGTCTCCCGGGTCGGAGTCGAATCTCTTGGGTTCGATCTTCGAAGGTTCGACCGAAGAAGGAAGCTGGATGAAGCTGGGAGTTCTACCGAGGCCACTGCCGCAAAAGCCATCAACGCAGAGGAGGAGCTATGAAGATGCCATAAGATGCCTGAAAGTGCAAGTCTTTTGCTTCGTTCGTCGTTTGAGATCGAATATGATCTGGAGGACAAGGCCTTTGCAAGGCGCTTGGTGCAGGCACGATGGTTTTCGGGAGCTTTTCAGGGTTTTCCAATGTCCCCAACCAGCACCACCCAGTCCTGAGACTCTTTAACAAGACCACAAACATTTACTTAAACCATCTTAAGGCATGCTACTCTGAACTACAATCTACAGCATCAGCTCAAACTGTGACCATCTTAAGGCTGCTACAGCGAGGGACGTCACCAAAAATAATCACCAGATTTAGTGGCCCGAGCGGCCGCTTTAAACGGTGCGGAGGGCGGAGGGGCTGAACCGTGGCAGGTGCTGAACCGTGGCTTGTTGAGGGGTCCTGAGACAAAGACCTTCCGGGCCGCTTGGACCTTCGCAGTGGAGACGGGAGGGGCTAGCTTCTTGGGGAAGGAGCGGTGGATCCAAATCATCCCTGATGGATCCTATTTTCAAGGTGATTTGACTTGAAGATCCATCCGTATTCTTTCTGGTCTGGTCACCGAAGATAGTCCTCAGCCCGCATCTCTTTTCGGCTTCTCCCTTTTGCACAAGGGTTCTTTCTCACCTGAGGCGCAATTGCAGCTCGAAGCACGAAGAGGTCGAGAAAGCGATGAACTCCGGCCAGAGTTGCAGTGGCTTAGCTGCGATCCACGGAGCAGTTGTGCGAGGGTGGCATCGGAGTTTTTGCCTTCGTTGACTGGGAAGCTTTCTGACTTTAGAGTTTGTTCTAGTGGACATTATATGTATATATATATATATTTCAATTAATCAATCGAATTATGTATGTATGTATGTATGTATATATATATATATATGCATACATATACACATACACATACACATGTTCTGATTCTATAGAACCCACAGATCACAGTGAATTTAGTGAATACATAATTTGGAATAAATTCAGTGCTGAGAGGACACACACACACACACACCCCACCCATTTTGACTGGACATTCCTTGAATAGTTCTTACCCAAAGTATCCAAACGTCGTTCACCACCGGAAGCGACTTTCTTCCAGGATGGCCTTGATGCACGCTTGGATGTGGGATGCCTAAGTTGGCGGGGTCCGATGCGAGAGAGAGAGAGAGAGAGAGCGAGCGGGAGAGAGTGGAAGAATAACTTTGCAGTGGTGCCATGATGCGTTTCAGGGCGCCATGTTGGGGCCTTGGCACAAAAACATGGAGCTACGATGATTACAAGCACCCCAGCGGACTGGATGGATCTGGATGGCACCCCAGTAAGGATTACAATGATTACAGTACCAGGTGAACTAGCCGCAGCTCACCCGAAGCTTCGCCTTCATTCCTTTGAACGACTCGCAGCGGCGAAGACCCCCAGATGACCCTCCCGAAGCGAGGAAATGGCTCGGAGCGATGTCTTAGTCCATGGGTGCTCTGTTGCGAAACTAACTACCCCCTCGAAATGACTGAGCCCGAAACGACTGGGCCCATGAGCTTGTGTTTCATGATTTCATCTGAGGGTTTGCCCCGTGAGCTCCTTGGCTCTGAGCTTTTGGATGAATGAGTTAGGGGCTCCCAGAGTGCGGCTTAGCCGAGACGGACGATCGGATGGCCCAAGAGCCGTTCAGCCTGCTTGCAAATTGAGTTAAAAAAAGCATGCAAGCCCCTTCTTATTACTAGCTTCTTACCACTACTAGAGATGGCCTCCAACCTACTTGTGATGGCCTGCACCGAATAGCGTCCTGGTTCAAGAAGCCAAGGTTTGAGTTTGCAGCAGGCTTGGCAACTAGGCGTGGCGAAGAAGTACGCGACTGATCAACATTTCATAAAGATCATGCATTGCATATATTTATTTTTCAAGTCAGTCCCAGACGCAAATCGCCGTGATGGAGCCTGAATACAAATCTCATGATGTAGCTGTAGCTTCAATGTTGAACAGTTCACAGCCCGGATCTCCTCCTTTCGTGCGCGGCGCGTGGTCTCCGGCATGTTCTTCGTCCCCGCCGTCCCGGCTTCAGATTCCTCAGGCTCGCAACGGCAGAACGGACGACCGAGATTGAGGTGGGGATCGGGGCAGGAGAGATCAGGAGTTGCGCTGGCATTTTTGAGATCTCATGTGCTTCAAACGTGGGCGCCGGGCACCCTCTTGGGCGGATGGGGATGGGGCAGCTGTTATTGTTGGCAACATTGAAGAAGTGGAATCTGGCGGGTCTTGTGGAAGGGTATCTTGGGGCTGGATCTAGACCTATCCCAATACTTCACAGGGGATTGGAGGCCCATTCCTAAGTCATATGAACATCCATTGAACTCAGGCGGATGACGGTGTCAGGCGTCAGACCTTCAGCTCAGGTCGAGCTCAACGACTTCGTGGAGCTTTTGGAATCGCCAGCTCTTGGGCCGCACGGCGCGCACGGCTTCGGCGGCGCGCACGGCGTGCAGGGCGTGCGACGGCCGTGCCGGTCTTTGACGGACGCATTGAAGGAGGCGTTCGGGCGATGCTGTTTGGAGCTCTTTGGGCTCCAGCATTCCGTTGCGCGGCTCCACATTGTTCCACCGCCCTCGCCATGAAGTTGCTTGAGTGCTCGCGGCATCAGCCCTGGAGTGGGTCAAAGGGCGAACAGGTTTGCACCGTGGGTGGGGCCTTGTCGGTCCTGAGCTGGAATGTTTTGGCGCCAAGCACCGCCGAGGCGAAACGGCATGACGAAAGGGGCATGACTCATGACTGTGGTTGGGAGAGGTCGCATGGGAGAGCAACACCATGTTCCAAAGCTAGGAAAATGGAAAAGACCGGCTTGAGGCACAGTTCTCTTTCGCTTGCTGGAGGCGAGTGAAGGAAGACTGATGAAAGCCGAAGGAGGGGAGAGTGGAATCCAATCTACGGCTATTTCTCCTGTAACACCTTTCGTTACTTGATCTGTAGGACTCGGACAAATCCACTGACCCAAATAAACATCGACAAATCAAAGAAAAACGTGGCCAGTTTCCACTACGTTTACACCGTCGCACTATTGCTTCTCTCTTTTGTGTTGAGCGGTCGTGACTTTGACATACTTTGAATGCCTGGCACCGGTCACTGCCAGGGCACTGAAATTTTCCGGAGGGAGCGCCTTCCTGCGCTGCTGGAAGTCTTGGATCTGTATACAAGCTGCGATATCATTTGCCTACAAGAAGTGGAAATAGGCCAGCTCTCACAAGTTGCACGCCTGGGCAACATGGGTGTGAGTCAAGACTGACCCAATCGGTTGACCTCCTAGCCGTCCATTCTGTTCATGAAAGCATGGAGGTCAGGTGGTGCCAGATACCAAGATGTCACGACTCTTTACCTCAAAGCACAAGCAGCTGAAGCTGCAGATCGCTGGTGTTGACCTCCCTGGCCTCCCTGTCACGTGACCGGGTGGCTTTTCGAACCACTACCACGGGTTGCCCCACGTCCAGGTGCATTTCTGCAGCCGGTGCGCGACTTCTTGGAGGAGCGAGGCTTCGAGACCGCGGTGCAGGAGAGAGAAGGTGCGAGTTCGGACGATGCACGGGAACGACGGTTGGATGGTGTTGTTTGTGCCAAGAAGTGCAGGTGGAATTCAAGGCATCAAACATCATCAAACCACACCTATATCAATTCAATGCGGCGTCTATGGGCATGCTTTTTTTGTCGCCGGGCACTCGCTCCGGACATGAAATGGAAGTCATGCGTTGCCACTGCTTCGAGGCCATACCTTTGTGAATGTCACGTTCTTCCATCACTCCTTGCGGTTGAGCTGGAGCATGTCCCGATCGCGGATCTTCCTCACGGGTTTCTTGATGGCCTCGGGTCACGAGGCAAGTTTTCGTCGAATCGGCAGACCAATGGTCCGAATGGGAAGGTTTCCAGCGGGGGCTGTGGGTGCCCGGTTTTTTTTGGGAGGTGACCGGTGTACACTTGAACAGTTCTTGTACATGCACGGCATCCAGTAAACAAACTGGACATGAAGCCTTTTGTCAGAAGAGTGGATTTCTCGTGACAGGTCTGTGTTGTAAACGTGCACTTGGACTCGAAAAAGGAGGATCAGCGAGCTTCGCAGCTCAGCAAGTCTCTGCAAAAGATGAGCCAGAAAAGATCGCCACTTTGTCCGAAGATGGAGGTGCCAACGTGTGCTCATACCTCCTGTGCTCTTGTGGTTGCAGCGAAGCTTAGGGGTCTGTTCCGGAGCAAGTTCCGGAGCAGGTTCTGGATGAGGTTCCGGAGCAGGCTGTGGAGCAGGTTCCGGAGAAGGAGCTTCCCACAAGTTCCAGAGCGCTTTGCAGATATGATGAGATGCCGCTATGATAATGTTGTCACCTGGTAGTGCTGACATGTCATGATGCTGGCCTGTTGTCACGCTGACATGTTGACATGCCATCAGGCTACCGTGCGGCTTGTGCAAACCTGTATGCTGTATGCTTGTTTTATATTTCTGACTAAGGTGCTGCCATGCCGTTGAGTATTGTTGCGCTGATATGCTGCCGTGGTGTCACACCGACAAGTTGTCAGGCTGTCACGCTAACATATTTTCATACTGGCGTGGTCATGGGTCACACTAGCATGCTAAACGAATGTCACGCTGAGATGTGGAAATCGGGTCATGCTGTCGTGCTAACTTGCTGGCGGTTCCAAAGCCTGGTTGCCAAGAGGAAACATGCTTGCACATATGTAGGCACATGTGCTACGCTGATGGATTGCTGTGTTAATGTGCCCACATGGCACATTGAAAGGGTTCACGCTCTTGATAGCAACCGTATCTAACAATCTCACACCTCTTCTGCAAACTTGCAAACGTCGCAAGTGATTGACAGATGCCAAGTGTTGTCATTCCTTATCAGCAAATTCATGCCCAGCTGTTGGGGAATATTCTTGGGCTTAGTCACTTTTTTGGGGCATGTGGAGGTGCATGTCAGTGGATGAAACCACTCCTGAAGCAATGCTTCTCTCACCTGAGGACCTTTCAAGTCGTCTGTGGCGACTTCAACACAGACCTCAGTCAAGACATTCCGCTCACGGAGATGTTGGCAGAATATGGCCTGCCAGGGTCTCAGAACAATGTGCTGAGTTGGAGATGTGGTCTTATCAGCATGGGCAGGTTGAGGAAGAACCACGGGGCTCCTCATTCATTCTCTTTCGAGAGGTGACTTGTTCATTTTCATCATGTGTCTTTTCCAGGCTCACTGTGAGTCTTGCTGTTATACATTTTTGCAAGTGACCATGGAGCACGAAACACCTGCCGGGTCGCTCCACCTGCTGGGTCTGGTCCTGTCGACTCCGTCGCCCAGGTCTCGTGCTCCGATGAGAGGTCTGAATGTGCGGAAAGGGGGCCGACAAGGGGGATCTGCTAGGAGCTTGCTAGGGATCTTTTTTTTGTTTGGTTTGTTCAGATAGTAGATGATGGTAGGTATGGAATAACTCACCCTCCTAGATGATGTTGATTAGAGGGAACTTTGTCTGGGAAATTCGCTGATGGTCCTGTTCTGGCAACACGATGTAGTGTATTGGTTTGTTGGATCATCATTACTGTTCTTCGTTGTTGACTTGGGGCGGCTCCCAGGTATATAGATGGTTTACTCAAGATGTCCAATATCCATCCACTCTTGCAGGACTTGCTACAAGTGTAAACGCATCACTGAGTGGTAGCAGCTTGGTCCTATCGTTTTCCATCACTCTACCCAATGGGCGCTCGTCGGCTCGCGGTGCTCGTCGGCTCGCATGGCAGGCCTGACTCACACGTTGGGGGGGGCATTGGATCACCTCTGCAGCACCCGCGGCCTAGCCCCCCGGCGCGTCTTGTGCGCCGCCTCTCGCAGCATCATCGGTGTGCGCGCTACCGGGAAGGCCAGACACAGAGTTGGTTGGGGATTTGGCAACCAGCTGCACCTGAAACCACCGAAATAGGTAGGAAGAAATCCAGTGCGCATTCTTTCGTTGCTTGGGCTTGTTTGGGCCTTCTCATGGGCCTTCTCATGCTGACATATGCTCAATGGAGCGAATGGACCCAAGGCCGGCGAAACTTGTTTCCAACTTGTGTCAGCAGGAGCTTCTCCCTGTCGCTCTCACTGCTCTTAAGTGAGTTTCCTGGGACGGCCTTTTCTTTCTGTTAGTGAAGTTTCTGCAAAGCAGCACCACTGGGTGAGACTTGCCAATGTTCGGAACGGCAGGGATGCCCTTCTGATCACCTGCCAGTCGCTTGCGAGTTTGAGATCTTGGAACCTCTTTGGCCACATGGCTTGCCAATCGATTTGCCTGGGGAAAGAGGGAAGCAATAGGATTTGTTCAGCAAGGCTTGGCAACAACGCAGGTCAACGGTTGCGCAGCTTGGATTTGGATGCAAAGCTCATTGGTGGGAGTGAGATAGTCTTTTTGGAGTGCGAAAAGAAGGACATGGGCCTGGCCAGGCCGCGGTGTTGGTGTTCGCGGTGTTGGTGCTTGTCGGTGGTGGGGATACCTCCCGCGGTCGCTTCCAAGATTGGTCTACCTGAGGCAATGTCCAAGAATGACCTCAGCTGCTGTCCCAGCAGATGTAGCGGCTGAATGGGCGGAGCTTCTGGAACTTGGAACGCGCACGAGCCACGTGGCGCCACGAGACCGTCTTCCCGTTCGGATCCGCCGCGGTCGGAGTCTGGGGGTCTGCCCAAGGTAACAAGCGCGAAGTCAAGAAGCAGCGACAGGATGAGGAGTGTGCGAAGGGTTTCGGCTTCCGTCTGACCACTGAAACCGCGCGTCATCACCAAGTTGGTTCGAAGCTCCAAAAACAAAGAGCCCTGGACAACGAGAATGTTAAGGGGTACCATCCACCAGAACCGGGACTTTGGTGGTCTAAACCCAACGAGACTTGCGCACCAAAACTGCGACCATCCTTCCATGTGATCCAGCGCTCCAAATCTCCGACCATACAAACGTTTGGAGACGAAACGAACGGTTACAAGCCAGCCTTGCCTTGGATGTATGTTTGCGGGTGTGTGCGGATTTAGCCATCAATGGGGTTGTAGAATAAATCGAGCAAGAGTACTCTTTCTACTACCACTGCCACTACCGCTACGACTACCGCTACGACGACTGCAACAACAACCTCAACTACTACTAATAACTACAACTATTATCTACTACTAATAACTACTACTAACAACTACTACCACTACTACTGCTGCTGCTGCTGCTACTACCTCCTCCTACTACTACTACTACCACCACCACTACTACCACTATTACCACTATTACCACTATTACCACTACTACCACTACTACCACTACTACCATTACTACCACCACTACCACTACCACTACCACTACCACTACCACTACCACTACCACTAC